TTCAGTTTTAAAATTTTTTTTAAGTTTATTTATTTGGGGGGGGGGGCAGAAAGAGAGGAGAGGGAGAGGGAGAAGGAGAAGGAGAGGGAGAGGGAGAGAGACAGAGAGAGAGAGAGAGACACACACAGAGAGAGAGAGAGAGAGAGAGAGAGAGAGAGACAGGCAGACAGACAGACAGAGAGACAGAATCCCAAGCAGGCTCTGGGCTATCAGTGCAGAGCCGGACTCGGGGCATGGGGCTCCAACTCCCTAACCGTGAGATCATGACCTGAGCCAAAATCAAGAGTCAGACACTTAACCAAATGAGCCACCCAGGCGTCCCTCAGTGTTATTAATTAATGCCTACCTTCCCCTCTAGGCCATAAGCTCCTTGGAGCCAGGGATTATGTCCATTTTGCTCACTCTGCTACCCTAGCGCCTAGTTCAAGAATTCAAGTAAATGCTGAATAAAAGGTCAAGTTTCTCAGCAACTGGGTATTAAGGCTTAAAAGAAAGTACGGAGGTCTGAATTAGCAGTAAAACAATGAGAGGCGCCTGGATGGCTCAGTCAGTTAAGTGTCCAACTCCAGCTCAGGTCATGATCTCACAGCTCGTGAGTTCAAGCCCCGAGTTGGGCTCTGTGCTGACAGCTCAGGGCCTGGGGCCTGCTCCAGATTCTGCGTCTCCCTCTCTCTTTGCCCCTCCCCTGCTCATGCTCTGTCTCTCCGTCTGTCTGTCTCTCTCTCTCTCTCTCTCAAAAATAAATAAACATTAAAAAAAAAAAGTAAAGTGATGAGTTAGCAGCATCGAGGCAGTTTAAGATGAAGTTTTCCAGTGAGAATGCACAGAACGGGAAGGATAAAGTGCTGAGGACATGCCCTGAAAACCACTACATTTAAGAGGCAAGACAAAAAAAGGAAGCCCAAATAGATGAGAAAGAACATCCAGAGAGGTAGGAGGCCCGAGGAGCCAGCCAACAAATGGAATAAAGGGAGAGATGGCCAATGTTTAGATTTTTTTGTTGGGGTGGGAGAGACTTCACCAAGTTGACATGCTGGGGGTGAGTCGTTTCCTGGAAGAAAGGAGCCAGGAGAGAAGGGGAGACCTAACATGGAGTTTCCATGGTATTCTCACCTGGCCCTGAGGCCACCACTCACCTCTGGAGAAGTGAGAAGCCAGCCAGACAGTGTCCACTGCCAGACTCCTACCTCTCTCACTCCGCCACAAAGCCCAAGGGAAAGTTCTGGGCTTTGCCCTCTGTGGAAAGGCTGACTTGGCCTCCTGCAGGTTGGTTCAAAGACCAAAGGTATTTCATGCAGTCAGAACTGAACCCAGGAATGCTAGAGAGGCAAGAGTTTACTTTCCCTGACCCTACAGGGGACTAAAAGGAGTGGCCAGCAGATCACACACTGCCTTGGCCTACAGAGCCCCGTGCTGCAGCCCCACTCCCCTGCTGGAGACAGCCCAAAAGAACAACATGCTACGCTTCCTTCTTCACACCACACACACACAGCCTGTCCTCGGACATCTCTCTCCATCCTCAACCCAACACTGGAAAGTCCTCTCTCTGCCTTTCATAACGGAAGTACTTCTATCATGAAGGGGTAATCATTTGCTATTATTCAAGAAAATTTGCCCTCATTACTGAGGTCAGAATAGGAGTTGCTCAGCCCCTGTATTACACAAAACGTAAGGAAAAACACACACACACACACCTAAATTCTATGTCTAAAACACTTCCCCCGGGGCACGTGGGTGGCTCAGTCAGTTAAGCATCTGACTCTTGATTTCAGCTCGGGTCATGATCTCACAGTTCGTGGGATCAAGCCCTGCATCAGGCTCTGCAATGATAGCATGGAGCCTGCTTGGGATTCTCTCTCCCTCTCAAAAAAGAATAAACATTAAAAAATAATAATAAATAAAACATTTCCCAAATATCTGCTGCCTGCCCCCCAATGGGCACAGGTCCAGGACTCCTTCATGGCATACTCAAACCCCTCTGTCATATACTCTCACAGCATCCTATCTTCATTTGCAATATGCTTGGCTTTGTAATCATCACTTTCTTATCATGTACAGTAATTTGTGTAAAGTTAGCCTCCCCTGGCAGATTGTAAGGTTCATATGTAGCTCTCGTGGGACCTCTAAAAATATTTACTGCCTGCCTGAAATGCATTTCAGCTTATTCCCGGGCTCTCTAGGCATCAAGGACATCACTCTTTCAAGTCAAACTCAGAACCTGTCTTGGTTACAGAATTAAGAGCAGGCTTTCTGTCACAAAGCTGCTGATGGCCTACCCCTCCTACATGGAGGGGGTACATGGTCCCTAGGTTTGTTCTAACGGTTATGCTCCCTCTTCCTACATGAGCTGCATCTAGTATTCCCTAAAGAAGTCGTAATCATGTCCAGGGTGGCCCCAATTCTGAAGGAATATGGTTCTACTACTGGGAACAAGGGGGGAACTGGAAATCAAACAGGTAACTGACCGAGAATTCCCTTTCCTTTGAGGATTGGAGAATGTCACAGCTCAAATACATAAGGGATCCAAGGTCTCAAATTACAGAAGAGGAAACTGATGCTTAGAAAGGTTCCCATCAATTGAACCAGCAGGGTGAACATCCGTGGTACACACAGCCTACACTAACCACAGCAATAGTGGTCAACAGCTTCCATCCTGTTCATTCATCCAACTATCTGACAATAGCTAGGGCCTACTTTCCCAAGGTCACAAGGCTTAGGGTCAGTTAGATTGGTCCTCTCCATACTACAGGGAGAGGGAGAGAGAGAGAGAGAGAGAGAGAGAGAGAGAGAGGAAGGAAGGGAGGGAGAGAGAAGGAAGGAGAGAGAGAAAAAAAGAGAGAAAAGAGGAAAAATGAAACAACTTATTACCTCTCCTGAAGTAATGCTCATCCTTCTTATAGAGATTTGATTTTCAGGGTGCCTGTCTGGCTCAGTTGGTAGAGCATGCGACTCTTGATGTTGGGTTCCTGAGTTCAAGCCCCACGTTACAGATACAGCTTATGTTAAAAAAAAAAAAAAAAGAGTTGATTTTCTCTGGCAAACAGTATCACAGCTCAGGGAACAGGCTTCCAAACTCCCTGTAGGTATCTTCTTGCAAGTGGAGAAAGGACTCAAGATTGCCTGTTTGTATCCCACATAGGAAGAAAAACAAAACATCATCACTGGTACTTGCATCAGTGGAAGATCAAGGCAGCCAAAGACTCAAGATCAAACACAAAGACCACTTGAGATGGGGGAGGGATGGTGCCAAGGCTGCCTAGAGAAAGTTGGAAGAATGAGGCTAATAATTACACAAGCAAGCCCAGATACACTGCTGTGACCCCAAGGAGACCATGATGTTAGACACCAGACAATTCAGAAAGAGAAGTCTGCCCTGACTTTTTCACAAAAGAAACAACAGGCTACAGATGGGTAGATGGTAGGAGTGCAGGCTCTGAATTAGCCATTCATCTTGCACCTATTTAATCAAGGTTCTGAACTGAGTTTTCTCTCCAAGAATCTGAAGCAAGTATGCAGCCAGCAGACGTTTAAAAACACACTTTAGTTGAATGCATAAACAGCTAAGGACCATTCAGGGGAAATCTGCCTTCATTCCAGTGATCTTAACTAGAATGGAAAGCCTGCTTATAGGAAGAGGGGCAAAGCCCAAAAACCTAGATGGAACAATAATAGCTAAGACCTATGTAGCACTTCCTATGTGCCAGGCAGTATTTTATGTACTTGACACATAACAATTCACATAATCCTCACAAGAAACCAGTGAGGGAGGCAAGAGGTACACACACGACTGCAAACGTCCAGGTTTGTCATTAGTCGCAACACTTTATCAACTCAAAAAAAGTTCTGGGTTCACATCACAAATATAAGTCGTTCTTTTCCACCTGCCTGTACAATACAATAGTGTTAAAGTCATTTCCTCAAGAGTCAGAACTGAGTTCAAGTCCCGACTCTATATAGCTTAAAACAACCAATTTCTAGGGCCGTGAAAATGAAATGAAATCTTATGTGAAAAGCATTCCACTAGGAAGGATGTAATTTCCATGAAGGCAGATTTCGTCCCCAGCTGTGTCGCGAGAGTCCAGAACAGGACCTGGTACATATGAGATTAATTCCTCTTTCTGACGTCAGCATGGGGAAGGGGTGGGAGGTAGCACCTCTCAACCCACCCAGAATCCCTTTCGCTCTTGCTTGCCTGTAAGTGCAGGCCCGTTTTTTGCCTCCTCCAGGACTGCAAACGGTGCACCGCCTGGTCCAACGCTGCTTAGCAAAACCTGGCCATTCCAAAACGCCTTTCTTTCACCCCTGCTGCCATCGGCTCACCTCAGCGTTCAGGGCCAATCCCCAGGCTGTCTCTTGCCCTCCGACAGGCAGCCTCCCACCACCGGGACTCCTCCATCCAGGACCCTAACACAGGTGTGGAGAAAGATGCATATCCCATAATGCCCCCACCCCCCAGCTATGGAGCTGGGGTCCACAGGGAGAGGCCCCTGAGCAGCCCCAGGCTACTATTCGCGCCACGTGGCTTCGGCAGGTGGAATCCCAGCTCCGGCAGCAGCCCCTCCCGAGCAGTCAGGACAGAAATCCAAGCTCCCTCCCGGGATGTTGGGTCTAAAGGAAGGTGTGGTAGGCGGCCTCCTCCCAAGACCCCTTACCTGGCCCCGAAAAGAATGCACTGAGACAACTGCCAACAGAAGAACCCTGCGTTAGAAGCCTGGCCAGTACTAACCTGCTGCCCAGGCCCGGAACCGCCCCTCATCCCGCCCCCGCCCCGCTCCTTCCCGACCAATCACAGGCCGGGCAGCGCCCACTAGCCACGTGGGCAAGCTTTAACCATTCCCCGGGTCTCCATCAGCGGGCCGCTACCTCCCGTGGACCCAGCAGCCCGCCTGCGCAGTGGGCGGGCACTTTGGCACGCTTGCGCACTTTAGGGAAAGCGGAGCTGGAACACGCCCCGTACGACTGCTTTGCTCCTCCGCTGTGCGTGCGAGGGACGTCGGGGGCGGTGCCGCAGCAGTTGCCCCTGGTAACGGGGGAGGCCGGAGGAGGAGGAGGAGGAGGAGGAGGAGGAGGAGGAGGAGGAGGAGGGATTCGGCGGGAGGATGGTGAGTGTGGGGGCCCGGGCCCCTCCAGAGCTGACTGGTCACCCCTCTCCTGTCCTCAGGCCCAGGTCGGGGCACTACGTTTAAAGCCAAGGAGGGAACGGAACGGCGCTCAGCCTGCTTTCTGGGTCCTGGATTGGTTTCGGGGGGCAGCGGGGAGCCCCGACGGTGGGCCCTTGGAAGGAGACCTGGGCCTGGGGAGGAAGGCGAGGTTTGCAGCGGGTCTGAAGCTACGGGACGGGGCTGGAAGGGTGTGTGGCTATCCCGGTACAGAGCCGGGTTTCCATCCTTACTAAAGAGATGAGGGCGGATCCGAGTAACTGCGGATAGCAGCCTCCGCAAGCAGGCTTCGATCTTCCTAGGGATTCGACTTGCCCGCGCCTCTGGGTCCGCCGGGGCCCAGCCAGAAGCCAGGAGAAGGGCCAGAGCTACTGCCTTTGAGGTCGCCCTGGCGGTACCAGGAGAGATAGTAGCCTAGCTCTCCTCTTCCTCGAGATGTGCGGGCCTCTGGGGGGAGGGGTGTAAATCCCAGGACACAAAGAGGTACCGCTTGGTAGGGATGCCTGGTGGATTTTACGTGGTCCTGGTGGCTGCGTGGCGGGCGCACTTCTGCAGGAACGAGTCATTTACTTGCTGAGGGTTCCGTAAAGGCCATTTGTTGATGATGACCGATTTTCCTGTGAATTCTTAATCCATATTGATGGAGGCAAATTTGCTGCCCGGTCCTTAGTATTTCATTTCAAACCTGTTGCAACGTTTTTCATATGACCACACCAGAACCAAAGATCTTAGTCTCATCTTGGGATCCCCAAACTAAAAAGAATGGGAAATTAAAACTGGAGTGGGTGTCAATTGGCTTTTCCCTGTCAGACCTAATTAAAGTTTTCTCTAATTGTGAATTATGATGTGTGACAGATTGGACCGTTGACACGCTCGCTGTTCCTTTTTTATTTCTGTGTGGTTAGATGGAGAGTATTAAAATGGAACTGAGTAGTTTTAGAGCAAGTCAAAGCAAAATTGACTTTGAAGCACTTAGAATAGGTTCGTTGGCTTACCAACTGAACAGAGCCGGGCACTCAAACTTATAGTTACTTGTCTTTTTGACTTTTAAAAATACTGATCCACGTTCATTAATTTATGAAGAAAAAACTAGATGTCTGCAAGGAAAAAAATGCATGCACCTTTGGTCAGATTATCCAATGAGTAAATTCTTATAGGAAAAAAATTGATTTTACATTGTCAGATTGTTTAAAAAAAGTAGAATTATTTGATCTGAAGTTGCCAATCACATTTCACACTTGCTACACTGCAGTTTTATTAACCCCAGGCTAAACAGATTTTTACATGTTTTCTTATTATTAGTCGTTTATACATGAGCTGTCCCTTTAAAGGCTAAGTTTTTCTCAACAAATGAATACAAATATAAATATTTACACAGAAAACAACTAGAATTGGAATGAAAAAGTCAGGCCAAACCAACCGAGAATGAGATGTCATCATGAGAAATGCATGAGAGTTGGCTAACTTTTCCCAGTTTGTTTATCAATTAAGTGGACTGTGTAATTTCATGATTGTTTAATTTATAATTACAGGACACAATAAATTAACCACTGCTCAGGTTTCCAGGTGCAAATTGACAGTGTAACAACACTATTGTGTACAACTGTTGCGTTCATTGATCAAGACAGACTTTGTTTTTCTTTTTCTTTTTTCCTAAATTGAACAATATGAAATTAGGGCAAATCATTCTGGATTCTAATCTCCAAAAGTGTGAGCTATTCTTAGAACTGAAAGCGGAACATAGAACTTAAACCATCAGTGGTGTGATTAAATGTGTCACATCTGGTATCCCATGAATCCCTGTGATAACTGTACAACGGAAGACAGCCCCAGGTTTTTGTTTTTGTTTTCTAAACCTTCAGCTATGACTAATAAATTTTATTTTTTATTTAAAAGCCCAAATGTTTTATCTGAACATTTAGTCAGCTATTTTATCCCCACATTATGATATCGAGTCTTTGGTGAAATGCTAAGATGGCAGCAATTTTAGTGCATGAGTGATCGTTATTATTTAATAGATGACTTCTTCACGCAGAAATTATTTATGGGGTCCATTCTACATACAGGAACCTAGTGGTAATTATCAAGCATTTTCAACATTTGAAGTTCGTTCCCAAGATTGTATTTTCTGGTCAGAAAATGGTCAGTGAAACGTAGAAAAAAAAATGAAAGAAAAACACCCACAACTACTGCTTTGAATACCTACTATGCGCCATACTTTACACACATTACCACATTTCATCTTAATAGCATTTTTCTTAAGAGTATTGTTCCAGTTTTCTAAATGCCCAGGATTATATATATAAGGAAGTTGAATTCAAGTCTATGAAATCCCAAAGCCCATAATAATGTTGTTGTTGTTGTTGTTGTTGAAGTTTATATATTTTTAGTAATCTCTACCCACATGTGGGGCTTGAACTCACGACCCCAAGATCAAGAACCACATGCTCTACTGACTGAGCCAGCCAGGTGCCCCCCTCACCCATAAAGTTTTTATTGGGACTATGGTGAGGTGGGAACCCACTGCTCCTGGGGAAATGCCCCTACTTTGTTCCTGAGGAAACATTGTATTTATTTAGTAGAGCAATGAGAAAGTAGACAAGTTTGGGTGAGTTTCTCCCTGTGAAAGCTATAGGAGTTCCTGGAAGTTAATAAGGTCTCAGTGAACAGGGTATTTTGTTGTTGTTGTTGTTAAAGAGGTAAAAATAAATTGAAGTCAGTTTCATTCAGGCTAGTTATGAGGGGGGTGGGGCACCTGGGTGCTGGGATGAGCAACCGACTTAGACTCAGGTCACGATCTTCTGGTTCGTGGGTTTGAGACCCACATCGGGCTCTTTGGCTGTCAGCACAGAACCAGCTTCAAATCCTCTGTCCCCGCCCCTCCCCTCCTTATACTGGCTCTCTCAAAAATAAACATTAAAAAAAAGAAAAAACTAGTTATGGGGAGTGCAGGTACCTGACAGTTGGGTTACTAATTTTAATATTTAAATTTTAACTGCTCCTCACAGCCACATACACTTTCCATCACACTACCATCACACACCTCTCTCCCCCTCCGCCACTCCAGTTTCTCTGAATGACCTAGTTTGCATCATTTTAGGTCAGCGCACCATGCCTCTGCCAGTAGTGGAGTTGAAGCTGATTTTGAGGCAGATAAAATATCTGTAGTCAATAGCACATCTATTCATAATTTGCCTGTAGAAAGTTTAAATGTTTTGTGGCTGAGTCAGACCACTTCTGTCCACCAGGGTGCAGATAACTTATATGCACACATGCTGGTAGCAGACCTTATACAATTAACTAAAGTTCTGATTTCTTAAATTGCCTTTATTCAGTGTCAGAGGAGGACATATCCTACACGGAGATCATGTCTGCTTTGCTCCCGTTGCACTTGGGGCACATTGTGGGTGTTTAATGTGAATGAAGGAATGAATGAATATTTTAACCAAAAAATCACTTTAAAAATTCATTTCCTTATGTTTATATGCAAAACTCAGACCCACAATAAAATTAACTTCCAATAGCTGTCTCCCTTCATTCGACATTTAAAATAAAGTATGGTCCTTGTGTTTAGAAACCTAGGGTAGACTTATTCTTCTGTCTTTCCTCCAGCCTCTTAAATCAGCTTACTTTGTACCTTTCAGGCAGAACTCTGATATCTATAAATATCCTCTTCCCTATTTAGCAAACCCTGATAATCCTGTGATCCCCTGTCCTCAGTAGTTGGGTTAATATGATGTGGTACCGTATTTGCATTTGTCTTCCCTAGACCATGCTTCAGATGCCATTTATCACTTTGATAGAAGAAAATAGTAGCAGAATTTTCCATTTCTCTGTCATGTCACTTAAAGGTAAAGCATATGAAGTTATTGTTTCTCAAGGAAAATTACTCATTAGAAATATAGAAGTATCATTTTTTTTATACATTAAGTTAACAACGTTTAGGTATAGTTAGAATGGTTTTCTCTTCTGTGCTTTGCTTCTCCCTTTTCAAAAAGAAATTATTTTCTCTTCATTTTTCAATTTCAAATATAATCAATGTGTAACAAGTCTCAGCCTGCAGAAAGCCATGTTTTTTGTTTTTTGTTTTTTGTTTAGAAAGCAGGGTTTTTATTTACTGATTTGTTTTAAAAGACACATGAGAAAAAACCTAAAACGTTCATTTTGAACCTTGCAAGTAGTCTATGGAAACATCTTTCATAATTTCTACACTCGTAGATAATGCATGAGAAGACTTTTACCTGTACTGTCATTTCATGTACTGACGTGATAAATTCTGGTTATTTTAGAATTTTATTGGAAGAAGTAATGAGGACATCTAATCAAGAACTCAGGATGAGTAGTACAATGTGTTTTCCCTGTTCTAGCCTTTTTATATTACCAGTCCCCTGAGGATCTCAGAATTCTAATTTTAACTGTTCTGAAAGGTGGTATTATAAATGAGTGATTGCAATGTAGCTAATAGAAGCCGGGGAGACTTCTCATAAATATAGTTTAAAAAAGGAATGGTGTCAAAGTATTCAAGGCCAGATAAGATAAAAACAAAAGAAAAACGTCATGCCCTTAAGAAAAAAAAAAAAAAAGTCCTGCCTATCTGTTTGTTTGAAATCTGTTCAATCACTCTTTCCCAAATCTTTTGGTATAGATTTTGTCTTTCTGTTTTAAACTAAATCTTCCATTTTATTGCTGGAAAAAAATTGAGGCACAGAGAGGTTAATGTAATCCTTAGCAAGTCAGTGCAGATACAGAATACTGGAAGTGGTAAACAACGAGTCTCTGAGGCAGAAAGGAATTCTTAATAATTATGCATATTTGCATATCATTGTCCAAAGACTCAATTGTTGAGAATTATTTCACAGAATTATTATTTGATCTTAGTGAACAGACTGGTTTGAATTATTGCCTGGTGCAATAGGGATAAAAGTATATAACCATTTTTATATAATTCTAAGACTCAGCTTGAAGGAATTTCTGTTTGGGCTGGGAGATTAGATTATATGCCCTTTAAACTCTGGAATTCTTTGATTCTTGTTGTAACTCATGCCTTACTGGAACGAGATTGTCAGCTGCAGGACAGAACAAATAACCATCTTACATGATTTTTCTTATGTTCGTAGCTAAAAACCAATATGATTTATTTCCAGCCATTAAAAAAAAATAACAAAAACAAGGAACAGATATCAGATTACTAGTCAAAAATACTCTGGTTAAATTTTGACTTTTTTTATTCGTGACTGACTTTGACAATTTTCTAACTTCTCTGTTGTATCAGATTTTTCATCTGAAAAACATAATTTCTACCATGCACCTATAAGGATCTTGTGAAAATTAGATAATAGAGGTTGTGTGGTTTTTTTTTTTTAGATGAGGATATATATATTTTTTGATGGTAGAGCATTTTGAATGATGAAGTCTTAAATGTAAACTGAAATAAAGTTTTAAACAGCTCAGATACAATTTTATACAACTTTGTTTTTGTTTTTGTATAGCATCTTAAAATCTTTCACTTACTGGGTGGATAATTTTATTTAATTCAACAACTATTATCTAGTGTCTGTAAGTGCCAAGCATTTGGGGAGACTGAAGCTATAGCCCTTACCTACAAGAAACTTCACTCTGGTAAAGGAGAAAAATGCAGCAATCAATGCCCTGTAGTCTGATATGATGTGTGCTCTACTAAGTGCACAGGAAGGGCTTTAGGAGTATGAGATTAGTAGTTCACAATCCCAGAAGATTTGGGGTGATTGCTAAGCTGGATTAATAGGAGGAGCAGGAATAAGCCATGGTACTTACTAAATTGCAAAATTTACTGAAAGATTTCTGCCAAAACTTAGAAGGAGGCGGCAAATGGAATAAATCACTTTCAACTGGAAAATAATACGATGAGCTCTCCACAACCAAGAACGTTTTTCAAGGAGGAGAAGACATTCTGATATCCAGTAATATCAAAGTCAGTGCCCCAAAAGTAATCTGTCTTCTTCATGGTTGTTTAAGGGCTTGCTCTCAATTTTGCGCAAATTGAAAAGTGCACCAGACCAGGAGGTGAGAATCCTTCTCCTGGGCTTGGATAATGCTGGCAAGACCACTCTTCTGAAGCAGCTTGCATCTGAAGACATCAGCCACATTACACCTACACAGGTGAGCACTGCCCTGGCCCCAAGGTGCTTGTGTGACACAAGGAAGGTGATCATAGCAATATGGAAGACAAAATGGGATATAGAATTTTGTCCACTCCCAAGTTTTGTTACTGAAGAAAATCTGTGCAATTTAAAAATAATCTAATATTTCAAAAATCTATCAAGAGGTTCCATAGATATAAGGTACTTAGAGTAGTCAAAATCCTAAAGACAGAAAGTAGGATAGTGGTTACCAGAGGCTAGAGACAGAGAAGAATGGAGGGAGTCATTGTTTAATGGGCACAGAGAGTCAGTGTTGCAGGATGAAAAGGTTCTATGGATGGTTGGTGGTGATGGTGTAAAGATACTTGGTGCCACTGAACTGTGCATTTAAAAATGGTTAAAATGAGGGGCACCTGAGTGGCTCAGTCGGTTAAGCATCCGACTTCAGCTCAGGTCATGATCTTGTGGTTTGTGGGTTTGAGCTTCGTGTAGGGCTCTATGCTAACAGCTCAGAGCCTGGACCCTGCTTTGGATTCTGTGTTTCCCTCTCTCTCTCTGCCCCGCCCCCCCCCCAACTAAATAAACGTTAAAATTTTTTTTCAAAAAAAAAGAAAAAAGGGGCGCCTGGGTGGCGCAGTCAGTTAAGCGTCCGGCTTCAGCCAGGTCACGATCTCGCGGTCCGTGAGTTCGAGCCCCGCCTCAGGCTCTGGGCTGATGGCTCAGAGCCTGGAGCCTGTTTCCGATTCTGTGTCTCCCTCTCTCTCTGACCCTCCCCCGTTCATGCTCTGTCTCTCTCTGTCCCAAAAATAAATAAATGTTGAAAAAATTTTTTTTCAATTGTTAAAATGATAAATTTTATACTTTACCAAGTTTTATATAAATCATTCAAATAAGCATAAATATATCAAGACACAATTCCCTCAGCTCTAAATGATTACTTTTATTTATTTAATTTTTTTAATGTTTATTTTATTTTTTGAAAGAGAGACAGGGTGCAAGTAGGGGAGGAGCAGAGAGAGAGGGAGATGGGAGACACCGAATCTGAAACAGGCTTCAGGCTCTGAGCTGTCAGCATAGAGCCTGATGCAGGGCTTGAACTCAGGAGCCATGAGATCAAGACCTGAGTCAAAGTTGGATGCTTAACTGACTCAGCCATCCAGGAGCCCTCTAAGTGATTACTTTAAAAAAAAAGTAGCTTAATCTTCTGATTATGAAATTAATACATGTAGAAAATACAGAGAGAGTATAAAAGAAAATAAATTTTAAAATTACCTGGGGATGCCTGGGTGGCCCAGTTGGTTAAGTGTTCGACTTTGGCCTAGGTCATGATCTAGGTCCTGAGTTCAAGCCCCATGTCGGTCTCTGTGCTGACAGCTCAGAGCCTGGAGCCTATTTCAGATTCTGTGTCTCCCTCTCTCCCTATGGTCCTCCCCCATTCACATTCTGTCTCTCTTTCTCTCTCAAAAATAAACATTAAAAACATTTTTTAATTACCTGTATTTTTTAATCCAGCCTGTTTCCTAAGTCTAAGCAAGCAAAATACAACGGTGGTGCTTCCAGTGTGGAAGTTGAAAGACAAATGCTAAGTGTAACAGCCCTCCTTCTTTAGAGCTGTTTCTTTAGACCTCCTTCCCTGTAGGAAATCATGAGAAAGCTTGACCTTTGGCCAACTCGTTGGGCTTCCTAACTAGAGCACAGCCCCGTTGGTCTTAGTCACTTTAAAGTGCATGAGCCTTAGAGGTTTTAGGAAAACCAGAGGTTTTTTTAGCATTTTCCATCACTGTACTGTGATACGAGTTTGGTGTCAGCTTTGTTTTTTGTTTTTTTTTGTTTTTTTTTTTTTTTAATTTTTTTTTTTTCAACGTTTTTATTTATTTTTGGGACAGAGAGAGACAGAGCATGAACGGGGGTGGGGCAGAGAGAGAGGGAGACACAGAATCGGAAACAGGCTCCAGGCTCTGAGCCATCAGCCCAGAGCCCGACGCGGGGCTCGAACTCACAGACCGCGAGATCGTGACCTGGCTGAAGTCGGACGCTTAACCGACTGCGCCACCCAGGCGCCCCTTGGTGTCAGCTTTGAATGGCTGTGCCAAAGTGTGTGCTTCACAGCTTGTGAGGCTTACTGATCTGCAACTTTTTGCAGAAAAGTCACTTCAATTGCTACCAAATGAGCAATTTTACAGCTTCCGAGCAAATTTAATGTATAGCCTAAGGAGGAGCAAATTACAGTAGTCTAGCCTAGAAGGGCTGAAAACACATATTAGTGTGTCAGGATTTCTGCCAGAAAAAGAAAAGTCTAGGGTTTTTTCTTTTTAATTGAGTATTAGAATTAGGCTGTATCTCCTAAGAGTACCACTAAAATGAGAACGTCCACACTGTGAACATGGAAATGAACTCTTAAGTTAGAACTGGCCTCAAAAGTTCCAATTCTAACTTTCAGGCTTTATTTGATGCGTTATAGGTGATTTTGTTATTATATGATGTCAAGGTTTCATATTTATTCTTTAAAAACAAGCTTTTGTTGTGTTTTTGTTTAATATCAGAAAAAGCAATAGCTGCTCATTATAGTAAATTTACAAACGATAAGTAAATAAAATTGCGAAACTAGAAATCATCTACAATGCCCAGACATAACCACTGTTAACATTTAGGAATGTATCCATTCAGGTTTTTATTCTATGCATGTATGTGATGGGTGTATTTAAAGATTTTATTTTGGGGGGCACCTGGGTGGCTCAGTTTGTTAAGTATCAGACTGTGGCTCAGGTCATGATCTCATGGTTCGTGAGTCAAGCCCCACACTGGGCTCCCTGCTGTTAGCTTTGGATCCTCTGTCTCCCTCTCTCTCTCTCTGTCCCTCCTGCGCTCACACACACATACACTCTCTCCCTCAAAAATAAACATTAAAAAATATATAAAAAATAAAGATTTTATTTCTAAGTAATCTCTACACCCAACATGGGGCTTGAACTTACAACTCTGAGATCAAGAGTTACACTGTGTACCGACTGAACTAGCCAGGCCCCCTATGATGGGTATATTTAAAATAAAAAATAGGGTGCCTGGCTGGCTCAGTCGGTAGAGTGTACGACTCTTGAGTTCAAGGTTGCAGGTTTGAGCCCCGTGTTGGGTGTAAAGATTACTTAAGAATAAATTCTTGGGGTGCCTGGGTGGCTTAGTCAGTTAAGCATCCAGCTTTGGCTCAGGTCATGATCTTGCAGTTGGTGAGTTCGAGCCCCACATCAGGCTCTGGGCTGATAGTGTGGAACCTGCTTGGGATTCTCTCTCTCCCTCTCAAAATAAATAAACTTTAAAAAATAAAATAAATTCTCAGAATAAAAAATAAAAATGACTCATAGAGAATATACCATATCATTTTCACTGAATAATGCATCTTGAACATCTTTCTACATTGATATATATGTAAATACTTAGTAATACCCATCTCTAAAGGTTTGTACCCATTCATTATTATTTCCTTAGAATAATTTCTTGGTAGACTTGTTGGGTCTGACAACTTACAGAATTTTTTTTCTTTTGATAACTTATAGAATGTTAAGGTAGTTGACATATATGGTCAGATTCAGGAGTTTCTCTTATTTATCACCTGCTTCATTCCAGAAAGATTTCACGTTACTGGCTTTGACAGTTACTATTGTAGTTAAGTGTCCAATTTTTAAGTACACAAAAGTGGCTTTATCAATGAGTTGAGAATGAAGCTGCCTTTTACAATAAGCTTAAGCCACTTCCCTTTGGAGTTCTTAAACTTCTAATTTATTCGGTCCTTGGCTTCTTACAGGAGCTGTAGTCTGCCTCCTCCCAGGTATCCTCTAGTGACTGTTTATCCTCGGTGGAAACTGGGTGGCAGTGTTCCTGTGCTGTCACACTGTGCCTTGTCCTTCTGTGCTAGGCAGTAGTGTTGGCAAGCTGCCAGATGAGGCAAATGTTTATGGAGGCATCCCCAGGCCCACTCGACTCCAGTTATTCTGGATGAAATGGCACTTCTGTGGTAGCAAGCTGTTGATTGGATTTTTTAAGTCCTGATTTCACTATATCATTCTCAGAGAAAGATTTATTTTTTAATTATTGCTCATGAAATGCCTTCTCTCTGAACCCCAAAGGTCTTGTTAATTTGTTTCTCCGCACACTAACTCCCAGCTCACAGTTCCACCTGCCTCTGATTTGCTCACCTTCCTCAAAGTTCCACCTTGAGTCACTGTCCTGAAAATGAATACTTTCTTTTTGAGTTCATCAGAGATGCTTATTAAAGAATAGTTTCAAATGCCTGCTTGTTTATTTTCATCACTGCCTGTAACTGAGGGCTCCACTTCAGAGTCTGAACATGCTGTTCCAGCAGGCCATCCCTGCCTCGCTGGGTTAATACTCCAGTCACAAACCAGCTTCTCCCATAGTGTTCTGACTTCAGTTCCTTCCTTTTTCTGATTAATCCATATGAGGAAATTTTTGAAAGAATCCTAAATTCCAGATTGTAGCTCTTGCTTTTTTTTTTCTTTAACATTCATTTTTGAGAGACCGAGTGTGAGTGGGGGAAGGGCAGAGAGCGAGGGAGACAGAATCTGAAGCAGGCTCCAGACCCTGAGCTGTCAATACAGAGCCCAACGTGGGACTCAAACTCACGGACTGCGAGATGATGGCCTGAGCTGAAGTCAGACGTTCAGCCGACTGAGCCACCCAGGCGCCCCAACTCTTGCCTTTTTTGAAACTTTAAGAATCTGTTCTGTTCTGTGTTCAGATTCAGCTTCTGTTTTTTGGTAGTTAAATGTAATGTTCTATTAAATGTTACCATCTTGAGGATCCATCAGGAAGTGTGGCTGTGTTGATTATCAAAACTATTCTCATTCCCAGGTGTCCTCATAGGTATGTGCACATTTATGGGCACTTACTAGAGAAAGCACCACATTAGCCGTGACATTAATACTGACTCCAAAACCTGAATGAAGTAAGCATGTAAAAACACATTTCTTTTTTCCTTATCATAACAGACTATTTTCAATATTACCAGTATCATATCTGGCAGAGTACATAATAATTAATAAATAACATAGCTGTTAAATGTAACTTTGTTGGAATTATGACCTCAAAGCTTAATAAAGCTTGGTGTTTTTGCCTGTTTCAGGGTTTTAACATCAAAAGTGTACAATCACAAGGTTTTAAACTGAATGTATGGGACATTGGTGGACAGCGAAAAATCAGACCATACTGGAGGAATTATTTTGAAAATACTGATATTCTTGTAAGTACTCCTTCTGAGGCATTAATTCATAGTCTTCTCTGCAGTGTGTTAGGAATGTTAACATTGCTAATATTAACATAATATTAATGTTCTTTCTTGTTAGTACTTCCATTGCCATAACATTAGTCACTGTGAATTTAGGACTAGCAGGAGGCTGCAAATTGTGAGAGAGAAACATCTTTTTTGTTGCTGTTGTTTTAATGTTTATTTATTTTTGAGAGAGAGAGAGAGACAGAGCACAAATAGGGGAGGGGCAGAGAGAGAGGGAGACACAGAATCCAAAGCAGGCTCCAGGCTCTGAGCCGTCAGCACATAGCCTGACATGGGGTTCAAACTCACCATCTGCAAGATCATGACCTGAGCTGAAGTCAGACGTTCAACTGACTGAGTCACCCAGGCATCCCAAAAGAAACATCTTTGTATAACTTGTATAAGAGTTTGTTTTTGCTCAGTGACAACGTTGTACCCACATTCACCTTGGCAAAATATTTATTACTATAGTGATTTGAAAAGCAGAAGGGAAATCAGAAGATCGTGCCACTGACTCCATCATCCCAAAGAAATCAACAAGTAAGAGTATCCCAAAGAGGCAACCAAGATGGTGGAAGTCCTGGAAATAATGATGCATAAGGAATGGTTGAATGACAGATGTTCTTTCTAGAAAAGAAACTTGGAACTGTTTTTTCAGTTGCTTTAAGAGCTATCAAGTCAGAGAGATTAGCTTCATCATGAATAGTTCTAGAGGACTGGGTAAGGAGCAATTTGGGAAGTATTAGGTGATAGAGTTTAACTCAGAATAAGGAAAAAGTCTATCATTTTAACCATCCAGAAGTAGAAGCAGTTGACTCATGCATTGGAGATTCCTGGCTCAGGCAGCATTCAGGAAGGGGCTGAGATTTTAGCTCCCAGCTCACTGTCACGTTCCACAGGACTACCATTTCAGAATCCTGGAGATTTCACTATCCAGATACTTGATTTCTCCAATACCTCAGCTTCTCCGTTCCTTCACCTCCCCTTCAGGGATTTTCTCACCCACCCGACCTCAGCTACTCGCTGTCACGATCATAACCTAAAACAATGGGGTCTCATGAACTTGCATAGGAAAATAAATTGCACATTCTTTTCATTAAACTCTAGTGAAAAGTTTGAATTTACTACAATTCTGCCTATAGACAAGGAACAGCCATGCTGGTGTGTTCATTCATTACCAATAGACGTCATCCCACATCTCAAATAACTTTACTCTCTGCTTCTGCTTCCTAAGTGCCTTTCTACTGGATCATTCTTTCGGCATGCACACAGCCTGTGGTTTCTCTTGTTTAGAAACAAAAAACTCTTGTCCTGACCGTGTATCCCATCTAGTCCTAGTCCTAGTCCTCAGCCTCTATTTTTATTTACTTTTTCAAGTAGGCTTCACACCCAGGGTGGAAGGCTTGAACTCATGAGCCTGAGATCAAGACCTGAGTTAGGGCACCTGGGTGGCTCAGTCACTTAAGCGTCCAACTATGGCTCAGGTCATGATCTCTTGGCTCATGAGCTCGAGCCCCACATCAGGCTCCATGCTGACAGTGCAGAGCCAGCTTGGAATTCTCTCTCTCCCTCTCTCTTCCCCTCCCCCACTTGCACACACACACTCTCCAAATAAACAAACAAAAATAAATACATAAAATACATTAAAAAAAAAAAAAAAGACCTGAACTGAGATCAAGAGTTGGACACTTAACTGGCTGAGTCACCCAGGTGTGCCCCTCAGCCTCTTTTTAAAACAAAACTCTGTTAAAGAGTTTTTTGAGTTCTCTGTCCTCACTTCCTCCTCCCATTCTCTCTTGAACCCTCCATTCAAGCTCACCAAGAATCCACGTTGCTAAGGTTTTCCATCCTCCTCTTACTTGATGTATCTGCACAGTTAATGAAGTCGGTCATGCTGTCCTTGAAACTTTATCTTCCCCTGTTTTCCAGAAAACCATTCTATCTTGGATTTTCCTCCTATCTCACTGGCTACTCTTCCTCAGTCTCCACTGCTGTTTTTCCCCTTGTTTCCCAACCTGCAAATGTTGGAGGGCTCTAGAATTCAGCCTTTGCTTTTCTTCTCTAAGTTGTGGCTTAAGTGATCTCATCCAATTTAAGGTATTAGTTACCACCTACAAGCTGGTGAATCCCAATGTATTATCTCCAGCTGGAAACTCTCGCTTGAACCTCAGTTTCATATGTAGCCAGCTGCCTGTTTGGTGTCTCCACTTCAGTGGCCAGTAAGCCTCTTCAACCTGAATAGGTCCGAAACCAAATTCCAATCTCCATCCACCCCTCCCCAAACCTGCTTCTTCTACAGTCTTCTCAGTAAATGACAATTCCGTTCATTCAAAATCATTGGAGTCATCCTTGGCTCCTTTTCTTCTCACCCCCCACCTCTGACCTATCAGCCAGTCCTGTCAGTTCTACTTCAGAATATTTCTAGAATCCAACCACTCCTTTCCATCCCCCTGCTACCATGCATTGATTACTGCAGTGTCATCCTCACTAGTCTCCTTGCTTCTGCCTTTCCTCCCTCAAGTCGCTTCTCAATGCTGTATCTATAGTGATCCCATTCAAACATAAGCTTCCCAATGTCACAATAAAGCCAGTGGCCTTACAATGGCCTACAAGGCCCCCTACCTTCTGTTTTGTCTTACCTGTCTCATCTTTCCCCTCTCTAGCTTGGTGCCAGCCACACGGGCCTGCTTGCTGTTCCTGGAACACTGGCATACTCCCACCTCAGGGCCTTGATCATTGCTATTTGCAGTGCTAGGATTCTTTCCCCTTAGATATCCTCATGGCTTCTTCCCTTACCTCCTTCAAGTCTCTGCTCACATGTCACTTTTACCACTGAGACTTTCTCTGATTACTATATTCAAAATTATGGCTCCTATCCCTACCCTTCTGGCACTATAATTTTTCTCTTTTTTTTTTTTCTCTTCGATTAGACCTATCAGTATCAGACATGTTTTTATTTATTACCCTTCTCCCTCCTGGAACGTAATGTCCACAAAGACAGGGACCTTGCTTTTCCTCCCAAACTGTTGTATCCCAAGTGCTTAGAAAAGTGCCAAATGAAATGGACAACTGTTACAGATGGATTCTGACATTAGGTATAATATAGAATTATATGACTTCTAAATTCACTTCCAACTCTGAGGTTCTCTGATTCTGCATCATTGTGGTTAAGTCCAAGGGCTTGTTAATTCCTTCTATAAAATAGGTAGAACATTTACTTCAGGAGGGGTTTATGAGAAGTAGTGAATTCACTTACTCCCCACAATTCTTAAATGGAGAATAATACCAAAATGTAAAACTGTACTATCATCAAATCAATAAACACATGAGGTACTGACATAGGCATCCCACAGCCTTCTCTTATTTCTTGCCCTCAGTGAAGGTAAGTTCAAGTATATACCTAGTGCCATGTTAGAGGTTTAAATGGATGAGGAGAGGGGTGCGTGGGTGGCTCAGTCGGTTAAGTGTCTCTCAATTTCAGCTCAGATCACGATCTCACGGGTCATGAGATTGAGCTTCTTATCGGGCTCTGTACTGACAGTTTGAAGCTTGCTTGGGATTCTATCTCTCCCTCTCTCTCTGCCCCTCTCACGCCCATGCATTCTCTCTCAAAATAAATAAACATTTAAAAATTAAATAAATAAGGGGTGCCTGGGTGGCTTAATCAGTTGACTGTCTGACTCTTAATTTTGGATCAGGTTGTTGTGATCCCAGGGTCATGGGATCCAACCTGCATCGGCTCTGCACTGAGCATAGAGCTTGCTTAAGATTCTTTCTGTTTCCCTTTGCCCCTATCCCCCTCTCGCACTCACTCTCTCTAAAATTAAAAAAAAAAAAAAAAATGGGGGGGTTGCCTGGGTGGCTCTGTCAGTTAAGCACCCGACTCTTGATTTCGGCTCAGGTCATGATCTCATAGTTTTGTGAGTTCAAGCCCCACATCAGGCTCTGCACTGGCAGCAGGGAGCCTGCTTGGGATTCTCTCTCTTTCTCTCCCTGCCCCTCCCCCCACTCATGTTGTCTCTGTCTCTCTCAAAATATATAAAGTTAAAATTTTTTAATAGGGGCGCTTTGGTGGCTCAGTTGGTTAAGCGTCCAACTTCAGCTCAGGTCATGATCTCATGGTTTGTGCTGTGCTGACAGCTCAGAGCCTGGAGTCTGCTCCAGATTCTGTGTCTCCCACTCTCTCTTCCCCTCCCCCACTTGTGCTGTGTCTCTCAGTGTCTCTCAAAAATAAATATTTTAAAATTTTTTAATATTTTTTAATAAATAAAAAATAATTTTTAATTAAAAAAACAACTGTTCATTCCTTTAAAAAATAAAAAAATAATAAATGGATGAGAAGAAAAAGATGAGATATATGCATCTATCTGTTTATCCATCTATCCAGTTATTCCTCCAAAATATGTTATATACCTTCTAGGAGAATAGAAGAGAATTGTGAGAAAAGGAAAAATTTCCATTTATTATAGAAAGAAACCTGTAATCTCAAATAATGTGCCCATTCTTTTTTTTTTTTTTTAAGTTTATTTATTTGTTTTGAGAGAGAGAAGGAGAACACGCAGGGGAGGGGCAGAGAGAATCCCAAGCAAGCTCCGCACTGTCAGCTCACAGCCCAACTTGGGGCTCAGTCCCCTGAACTGTGAGATCCTGTCCTGAAGTGAGCTGAAATTAAGAGTCGGAAGTTTGGGTCACTTGGGTGGCTCAGTCATTTAAGCATCCAGCTTTGGCTCAGGTCATGATCTCACGAGTTCTAGCCCCGCATAGGGCTTGCTGCTGTCAGCACAGGGCCTGCTTCAGATCCTCTGTTCCCCTCTCTTTCTGTGCCCACCCCCCACCCCCCACTCTTGCGTGCTCTCTTTCTCAAAAATGAACATTTAGGAAGAAAAAAAGAGTCAGACGCCTAATTGACTGAGCCACCCAGGTGCCCCTGTGTCCATTCTTAACATATAATTTTTTAATTTTAGAAATTT